AAACAATATTAGATGTAAATTGTTTGTTAAACATCATCCGAAGCTCCACGGTATACATCAGATTCCATATTGGATGTCGTTGCTTTGGTCCGAATCTGCTGTTTGAAAGTACCTAAACGCGACCTGACACATCGCGCAAGAAACACGAGGGTCGTGTTTAAGGTCCACGTTTAGGCAATTGAACGCAAGAAACGTGACTTGAGGTTCGTGTTTTGTTTGTGAAACGCACCCTTGCGGGCTGCATTTTGGCTAATCAATGCAGTCCTGGGATCCTGCGTTTTTGTTCTGGAACTTGCTCTGAAGAGCTGCGTTCAACTTGAGAAACGCTCCTTTGCAGGCTGCATTTTGGAGATGGATCACATCCATTAGGGCTACATTTTGATGTTGGAACGCACCCCTGAGGGCTGCGTTTTGATTTTAAAGTGCTCCCTTGTGGGTTGCACATGCGGGACTCGTACTTGGACTCGTCAATGCGATTCTTGCGTTCTGAAGCAAAAACGTAGAGCTCGTGTTGAGGATCACAACCGTAGAGCTCACATTGATTGGAGGATCAGCTCTCTTGGAGTTGTGCTCATCGTCGGGATCTTCTTCTTTGTTGAGTGGCGTTCTTCTTGGCTTGTTTCAAGGCCTTTGCAGTGATATCAACTACATTGATGGAGCTTGTCGCTGCAATGGGTGCAGAATCTTTGACTCGATTAATGAGTCCCTTCAAAGCTTAGCCTACTCCTTCAGAGGAGGGGCTGTTCGAGCCAAAGGAGAGGTCTTCCTTAAGTAGTTCAGCAACAATTGGAGCTTTGTTCTCCTTGGAGACTTTGCGGATCTTCCACATAGCCTTGAGGCTAAGGGATCCGGAGGAAGTGCCTCCTTGAACTTGGCTTAATCAAACTCTACCACGAGAGTCTCGACAGTAGTTCCAATGAGGTTGACATCGGATTGCGTCACCAGTTCTTCATCGGTAAAGCTAGTCCTCAGTGGAGTCGCCATCTTTAGTTTATGGGAAAATTGAAAGAATATCTAAGGTAAAAATTATTTTAATCTATCTAGCTGACTTTAGAAAAAGAATTATTACAATTCTCTCAATTACAATTTCTCTCTAACTGAATTTAGAAAAACAAATTACAATATTCTCAATCGGAATCCTAATTTACAAAAGAGAAGAAGATCGACTGAGATCCCCCCCTTTGTTCAAAACTGGGTTCTTCACGGTAGTGATGGGCTTCCCTTGACGTTTATGGTGAGTTTGCTTTCTGTTAATGATCTGAATATCTCGCTGGAACGTTATCTTCGCCTCACGATTTGACGCTATGGAGAACTTGCAGAACAAGTTTGAAATTAACTCTTAACGAGTTTATGAACTCAGAGCGAGAACTCTTGTAAAAGAGAGTATTTGAACCGAAAGTCAGTTATAGCCAAGAACGAGCTCCTCGTTGCTGAAGTTGAAGATGATCTCTGTTGAAGAATGATGTCGATCCCTTCAGACCATTTCTGATTGAAAAAATGCTAGCCTTTAACTCGGTTGAGTTTACCTGATATTTGTAGGGGATTAAGAGGGTGTCATCACTCCTTAAATCACTCCTAGGTAGGATGTAACGACCCTCAAATCATGGGAAACAGTTTTGAAACAGTTCAAGATCTCTTTGAACAAGTCAAACGCGCAGAATTTGGACCTACATTTGGCATTTGAACGCAGGATTTGGACCTGTGTTTGGCATTTGAACGCAGGATTTGGACCTGCATTAGGCATTTAAACACAAAATTTGTACATGTGTTTGGCATTTGAATGCTGGATTTGGACCTGTGTTTGTCATTTGAACGCAGATTTAGACCTACGTTTGGCATTTGAACGAAGGATTTAGACCTGCGTTTGGCATTTGAACGCAAAGTTTGGACCTGCGTTTGGTGACTGAAGATTCACATGTTGCATTGCCTTGACTCTAGAACGCAGCTGTAAACTTTGCGCTTCGCTTCTGGGATGCAAAGATGAGTTTTGTGTCTTGGATTGAAGAGATCGTTGACTTGTAATCTCTTCTGTCAGAGCATCGCGGCGATTATTGTTTTGTAATCTTTGCTTTAGCTTCTTGAAATGTGAGGGTCGTCAAGTTATAACTCTCATTATTGATTGTGAAGACCATTGATCAGAGCTTTCATCTGTCATTGTGAAGGTCATTGATTTATAACATTCATTGATCTACGTGAAAGTCTTTAAATTGTAGCATTTTAGAAGTAGTTGAATTGTAACTTCCCTTGTTGATGTTTGATGGGGATAAGCTATCTGCTGTGATTTTTTTATAACCTAGAACATGATCATGAATAGCTCGATCTATACCCTTGAGTACACCTGTAGAAGTCCCGGGCAATACTTTGTAGACTGCAATATGAGCTTCAGGTGCCAATCCTGAAGCCATGCCCTCGGCATCTTTGATGAAGGTCCCAGCAGCCGTGCTTGTTATGTGGGTCCCGTGACCCTCTATGCCAAGCGGCGGAACTTTCTGTCCGTTACGAAAATCGATCACGCCAATGATCTTCTTGTTGCATCCGCCTAGGATAAACTAGCATTTTCCGTTCCATATCGGCGGCTGTGTAGGTGTAGGCATATTCTTGTCATTGAATGAAGTGTGGTCAAACTTGATTCCAGAGTCCATCATGCCGATTATTATACCTCGATCATAACCTGAATCTAGCCACAGTCCATTCGACCGGCTCAGACCAAAGAACTTCAGGCTGTAAGTTGTTTGGAGTTCGCATTCGTGTTCAGGATACACACACCTGGTCTAAATTTCATCACCTGCTGTTTGTGGGAAAATTAAAGAAGAAAAATTGTGTAAACAAATGTGTTTTATTCTCTCTAACTAGCTTAGAAAAAGAATGGATTATAATTCTCTCAATGCAATCTCTCTAACTGCTTAGATAAGAAATTACAACTCTTCTTGATCAGTTTTCCAATTTACAAAAGAGAGAAGGGATCGACGGAGACCCTTCCCTTTGTTTAATATGGGTTCTTCTTGGTGTTGATGGGCTTTTGATTCCTGTATCCTGTTGACGATCAAAACGCTTCACCTCGTGGAACACGATCTATTCTTCTTGAATTGATGTTGAAGAGAACTTGCATGGCAAGTGTGAAACTCTTAACAAGTTAATGACTCAGAACGAGTTTAAAACTCTATAAAAGAGTTAATTTGATCTAAGCATGGTTGGTTTATAGCCAAGTTTAAGCTCCAAGAACAACTTCCAAAGCATGCTCTCGGTTGCTGAAGGACGCTTCAAGATCTCCAAGGATAGATGCTGATTTCCTTAGTGATTTTCTGATCTCAAAATTTTATCCAATCCTCTCTAATTCGAATGTTAAAAACCAAACCTTTTCTTTACTGAATATTCAGCTATTTATAGGGGTGTAACTAACCCCTAAAATCGCTCATAAGTGGGGTGTGATCCCCCTCAAATCGTGGGAAAACGGTTTTAAAACCGTTCAACTCGTGTTTAAATGAGTCAAATGCGAAATTCATGTTCTGGGCATGAACTCTTCATCTTGGACTCGAGATACGGAGTCGAGCTCTGCGTTTGGGATAAAAACGCAGTGGTGAGCCCTGCGTTCTGTTCATGGGATGCGGTTGTGAACTATGCGTCTTGAAACCGGAATGCAGCGATAAGCTTCGCGTTTTGCTTCTGGGACGCAGAGGTGAGCTCTGCACCTGGATTTGAAGAGATTGCAATCTCTCTTTACAAAGATCATCAGTTTGTAATCTTTGCCTTTGAAGTTTTGACATATATGAGAGTCGTCAACTTGTAACTCTCATCACTGAGAAACACAGTGTGATCACCATCATGATGATCATGTCGTAGTAATTTTTTTATAGCCTACACCTGCAATTCCTCCGGCATCAAGTTCGCATCGAAGCCACTGATAGCATGTCGATATGCGTAGACTATAGGCTCGCTAGAGTTTGAGGTTGTGTTCGGCAAGAAAGACAAGTACCGATTTCTTCGGTCTCTGAAGGTAAGGAATTTGGTGTGTTTGGGCATTTGTACGTGGATGATGTAGGCATGAGAATATATTGTGTTGCTCCCATGGATTTCAAAGAGAGGAAGAAAGTAAGAAGAACAAAACAAAGGTTAGATGAGAGAAATTGACGGGTTTGTGAATCTCTATTATACAGGTGTATCTTCTCCGCTTCGGGAACTTATCGATCCTCATGGGAGCTTGAGGATAGAAGCATCATAGTAGCGTGTCATAAACAACAAAAATTAGGAAAAGACAGCTCTGGCGAAACAATTCTAGTCAATCGATTGATGGCTTGACAAATGTTGGCCGATAAACGTGCACATTACAGGGTGCTGAAAGTCGCTCTAGACGATCGACGTATGCTGGTTTATCGGTCGGCTGATGAGAGCCTATTAGTTGAATGATGAACCATCATAAGTCGATCGATAGCGGGTCTAGGTCGATCCTAATTTCTAGCCGGTTTTGGGTTTTTAGGGTTTATATAAATAGAAACCATATTGATTCGGGATTCCCTGTTAGAAATCCGAGAGGTTTGAGAATAGAGAGGATTGTTCTTTATTATAGAGAGATTGTGAGTAATAGATTTGTAATTTATTGTTCTTCATAATTTAGTGAATGTATCGAATTATTCTTGTGTTTTACTGTATTCTTCACGAATACATCTTTTTAATAATTTCGCGATCAAAGCTGCTCGCATGGCGACTCGTATCAAGTTGGTATCAGAGCCAATATATGACTTGCATCAAGATTATTTATCACAGCTAGAAGAGAAATAAGCAGGAATCAAGAATACAAAGTTTATGAAATTGTGTCTTTAAGAGAGAAGAGGTAGAAATTGGCCAATATATAAGGTGTACATTAGTAATACGGATTTGATTAGGAGTCCTCCACCTACTTGGTTTGAATAGAAATTTCACAAATTTGTACATCAAAACAAATTGATCGTTTGGATTTATCTGAAGATTTATATTATAATTTATATACAGCAATGGACATTTTCTTTTTTTATGACATACTTCTTCTGATATGATGCTTGCAATACTCGTTTCAAGAATATTACGTGCACACCAAATTCCATGCGTTTATTTACCTATTTTTTTTTTCAACAACTTTACGGCTCCTTGGGATCTTAGGTGAATATAACTACGATGGGACTCCTCACAAAATACTTGCCAGAATCCCATACCAGTTGCCCTTCTGAAACTTCGTCATATTTGGATTGAACTCCTTGAATACTCAATGTCACAGTAAAATCTTGCTTTTCACCTTCATTAGTGAATGTAAGGGTAATAGGGTCAACATCCACATCCACTCCCTCTGGATTATCAACCTTCACCGTGTAAACCGAGTAAGCATCACCAACATTAGTCACCGTTCGTGTCACAGTCTTTGATACCGATTTAGCCCCGAGATACACCAAAATTGAAGGATAGTTCAGTTGCTCAGGCTCAATAGCTTGAACTTGAGAACAATTTACTGGACCACGAGCAATTGTTGTTACCTGATCAGAATCCGTAAGTTTCCCACAAAGGTATCGGATGTAATCGTGCGGGTCAATATCATATATCAGACCCGGATCATTAGCTGCCACCGGATCCACGTGACCCGATCCCATCGTGAAGGCTCCGGCATCTTTACCGTCATATTGATCTTTTATGGGATTACCGTCTCGGTCTTTGTAGTACGCTGTTGTCATGATGGCTGATTTAACCGCAGCGGGCGACCAATGTCGATGATTGCGCTTGAGGAGAGCCACGATCCCTGAAACGTGAGGTGTGGCCATTGAAGTTCCACTCTCCATGTTGAACGTCTTATTCGTGCCTGTGCGGTTCTCGAACGGCCCGGCTTCATTTCGCGAAGCTGCGAGAATGTTCGCACCGGGTGCAATAACGTCTGGCTTTATTATGTTACCGATAAAGAAGTTGGGCCCTCGACTGGAAAAGGAGGACACCACAGGTGCGGGGCGATGTCCAAATTGCGTTCCGTTGAACTTTATCGCTGCAGTCGGATTTGATGCCTGGTAGAGATACTTTATTATTTCAATCGCGTCGTCGTAGGTAACACGAGAAGCTGGATGGGGAAAATCATCAGCGTCCGTTCGATTCCCCATGAGCTCCGGGCTCATGACTATAACGCCGACGCCACCGGCCCTATTAACGTAGTCGCTAATTAGCGAATTCCTTGCACGAGACCGACCGGCTCCACACAGCACAATCTTACCCGTGACGTTGATCAATTTTAGAGTTTCACCCTGGCATTCCTTCGAATACTCCGTTTGCAGGATGCCGTATGGATAAATCAAAGGAAACTGAGTGGGAGGGAAGGTATCTGGTTGATAAGCCGATTCCCCGTAGAATTCTCGGCCATCTCCAAGCTCTACTATCGATCTTAACCTTCTGTCCATGACGCTCATTCCAACCGTTAGAATCCATGGAGCTCCCTCAACGCTTCTCAGATAAGGCCCATCATTTCCCCCTGCCTGAACAGGGACGATCCCCTTTGTAACTGCCGCGAATGATCCGACCGCTATCTTGTCCAGATCAAGTGGAAAAGGTCTGTCATGGCCTAAAGATATAGAGAGCACATGTACCTGATCATGGATAGCTTGGTCTATACCTTTGAGAAAATCTGCAGAAGTCCCGGGCCTTACTTTGTAGACTGCGAGATGAGCGCCGGGCGCTAACCCGGAAGCCGTGCCCTTTGCATGACCGACGACATTGGCGTCATCAACGAAGCTCCCGGCAGCTATGCTCGCAGTGAGGGTCCCGTGCCCGTCGTCGTCCAACGGAGAAACCATCTGTCCTTGATGGAAACCGACAGCACTGATGATCTTCTTGTTGCATCCACCTTCGCTCCAGTAGCATGTTCCTTTCCATTCGGGTGGTTGGGGAGGCGGAGACATCTGCTTGTCGTCAAACGAAGGGTGGCTGTACTTAATTCCAGTGTCCATCATACCGATTATTTGACCTGCACCGTAACCTGAGTCGGGCCACAATCCATCCCACCGGCTTAGGCCCAAGAACTTTGGGCTGTAGGTGGTTCGGAGTTTGCACTCGTATTCAGGATGTGCACTCACTACTCCTTGTTTAGATTTCAGCGATTGCAATTCTTTGGGGGTAAAGATTGCTGCGAAGCCACTGATCGCGTGTCTATATGTGTAGATCATCCGAGGCTCACTGGAGTCTAAGGTTGCGTTTGGTAAGAAAGACATGTACCAATTTCTTCGGTCTCTGAAGGTGAGGAATTTGGTGTGTTTGGGCTTCTGTACATGGACGATGTAGGCTTGGGATTCTGTTGTGTTGTTTCCGTGGACTTCGTAGAGAAAGGAAGAGGCCAAGAAGAGCAGGAGAAAGGCTAGATAAGAGAAACTAATGGGTCTATGTATCTCCATTTATGTGTGGATATAGACCAATGTTGAAGACTGAAAACAGAGAATCAGGTTATATAGAATCAAGAACCAGTTCAGGTTCACAGTTGTTTCAATATTTAATTATTGCAATGAAGAGGATAATAAGCCGGGAGCAGGGATCCAATGTTTATAAATTTGTTGCTTTAGGAGAAAATAATAATAAATTAGAAATAATGCGTGTAGATGTATATAATAGGAGTAGTATATGCTATGCTTATGCTGGAAGAAGCATCCTATGAGTGAATAATGCAAGAACAATGACTGTTAACTATTTATTTCCTTTTAGTTAAGTTACACATTTTAGTTCATTAGAAACCAACTCAAAAATTAGAAGCCAACTTTATTCTACACTTGATATCAGAAAAAAACCCCTTTAACTTTGGATGATTATCAAATAACCTCCTATAACATTCAAATCAACAGGGTTCCAGGAACCTCAACAGAACTGCTTTAGCTTTAAGATTTTATCAAAACCCCTATTGAACCGAGATTTTCACTGAAAAAAACATCCCATTGCGTAATTTCACACCTATGTATTCCTATGCTAGAGCCTACAACAAAGCATCTCCCCTAACAAAATAAGAAAGAATTTGTCGCCACATAAAAATGATGATCATAATCTAGGCTTGTCCATCCGGGCCAGGCTGGGCAACACCGGAGCCTGGGCCTGGTTGCCCTAGGCCGGCTCAGGTTTTCTTAGTTTTTAAAATTTTTAATTTTTCAAGAATACAAAGCAAAAAAGTTACACAATTTTGATAAAAAAGTTATATTATTAATCAATTGTAATTATGTAATTTACAAATATAAAAAATTATAGAAATTAAAATAATAAAATAATATAAAATAATTGTAGAATTTATAGAAACAAACAAAATTAAAAATAATTGTAGAATTCAAAGAACCCAAGAGCCCCAAGGCCCAATCAAATAATTCTAAATATATATGTTGTGGCTAGGATTTG